CCCTTCTTCTCCCCCTTCTTCTCCCCCTTCTTTTTCTCCTTCTTTTTCTCCTTCTTTTTCTCCTTCTTCTTTTCCTTCTTCTTCTCCTTTTTCTCCTATTATCATTACTATTATGATTATTTCCACAGGCGCCGGCCTTGCCTTCATTGCGTATCCCGACGGCATCACCCGGCTCCCGGCAGCCCCGGTGTGGGCCTTCCTCTTCTTCTTCATGATATTGACCCTCGGAATGGACAGTCAGGTCAGTCAGAGACAGAATCTCGTGAACTTTTTTGTTTAACAGCGCCACCATCGCCAGCTAGAAGTGACTGTTTAGGCTTACTTTCATTAATTGACTTGCTCGGTGACACACTAGTAGTTTCAAAATCTGGTCCCTCTCTATGCGGGAGAGTGGGAAAGGGGTATATGACCCCATCCTCCTCCAGAGGAGCCAAGGCGACGAAGGAGCTTCCCCCACCCCTCCCCCCAAAAAAGTAAAAAATTATATAATGAAAGAAAAGACACACGCTAACGAATTGAATGATCAAACACTAACAAATAAATTTCTTCATTGCTATTTATATTTTCTCAATGATATTTTCTCATATTAACTTTAGCGTTAAAATATTGTACCTACTCACTCACATTCTCAGATGGTCTGATACAAATATGATCACTAACAAGGCGCCCGAAAAAGGAACAGAACACGAGAAAAAACATTTATTAAAAATACTGTCATCAATTATTCTCGACTGTAGTGGTGGTTGAAAGTAGTACATTATGCCAGTCAAAGCCCAGTGGGTCGTTGGCAGAAGCTTTGTGTGGTTTACCTGACCTTTCCTATCACGCATCTATCGTCCTTAGGTCTCCTCCTTTTATATGTTTGTTAATCTCTTGTAACACCTCTCATATTCAGCACTTAAATGACCTTTTTATGTTACAAAAGCCGTAAAATTCGTAATAAAACAGAGTCCAAGCCCTCAGTTTTAGGTCAGGCGTGGGCAAACTATGGTTCGCGTGCCAAATCCCACCCGTGAGCATTTTTTAGTCCCGACCAGTAGTTTAATAAGGAATGTTGTTTGCAGTAAGCTGTGAGTCAGTAAGTTTATTCATTGTTTAAGGCCATTTGCCCACATAACATCATATAAAACACTCATTTGTTAAATTAAATTTCCCTAATGAAAAAGTACAGACAGTGCACATATCTCTTATCAGGGGTCAAACATTGCATACTACTGTCATTGGGCCGAGTCAGGCGGGGAGGAATTAACAATTTCCTATGATGGAAAAAAATTTGACGATAAAGAATAAAGTGAAATTTATCTTCGATTTCATGAGTGTTACACCTCTCACATAACTGCAGTGAGCTGATGATTTATAGAAATTGAAATTGTTCGTACTGAAGTGTGTAATTAATTATAAATGCCCGATACATCAGGATGACACGGATCTTATATTATTACTAGCGGGGCCCCCTTTCGATGAAAGGAATGATCGGTGCCTTAACATCAACTGAAAGTCATTGACCTACTATTAACACTCTACTGGAATGGAGTAATAAATCTTGAGAGAGACAAAAAATTAGAAGGTCTAGATCTATACTCTCAAAACAAAATGCGCCTCGCGAAATATCACTTCCGGCACTTCCACTGTGACGGTCAGCTACGCAGATTTGTTTCGTTTCTCAGTGGAATAATCACAAAGGCCAAAGAAGGACGGGAACTTTTTGTCAAATATATTTTTCTAAATTCATGAAAGGAATAAAATAAAAAATCTATCTTTTAGCAGGTATTTGCCAACTTTCAACTCGGTAGCTGTCGTAGTTTTTGGAAAAAGTGACAAATCTGTTTCAAAGTTGCCAAATATATAAACATGTAATCCATTCTATCTCATCAAAATGTCCCTGACTGACATGACAATGATGCTATAGTGCCAGATTTAGTCTCACCTTTGAGAGCTTGAGCTTTTTAAGGGGGGCGGGGTGGCTACACCTGAAGGCTATCTCGTTTATTACTGGACCGAATTTTACCAAATTTTACACATATAACAAGCATAGTAAGGAGTCTTAACATCCGCAATCAAATTTGATATTGGATTTTATTGACATGTCTTACGTAAGGAATACCGCACTTATCGCTCATGGAAATTAATTGTTTTTTGCATGCGTGTTAACAAACATTAGATCTAAAAATTTGTCTGTTGTTTTTTTTTCTAAACGAATTATAATATTTTAAATGAATTTTTTCCTGAGGTAGCATTCAAGTTTGCGAAAAATCCGTGAAAACCCACACTCCAGACAACACCAACAAAAATCTATTCCATATTTCAAAAATTCAACAGACACAATTTTTGTATTACCTCTTCTCTTCATTCTGTAAAAATTTCATGAAGATTGGATGAAAAATGGTGGAGTTATTAAAAAAGTATAGAGAAAAGTCGTGTTTTGAGAAAACGGCAGATAAAGAAAAATATAATACTGACTTTATGAGGAGAAGGCGGTTAGAAACATGCCCGGTATGGGAAAAAGTACGGTTTTGGGGGCTTCTTAGCTAAAAATGCCTACAACTCAAATTCCATGATTTTGAGCCGAATTTTGACTTTGGGGGTGTAGTCCCCCCCCCCCCCCCCTTAAACCAACTTCACCCGGATTTGACCTGACGTGATGTTCGAATCGCTAAATAAGGCTCTCAAAGTGTACATGCTTGCCTATGCCTGCTGAAAGTAGGTGGGCAGCTGAGTATCAATCTATTTGCTATTTATTTTATAGGCTATATTTTTTTTCTGTCGTTCGTTATATAGCACATGGGCAGCTCTCCGTTACGGAAAGTCAACCTTTTAAAAGATAAATACATTTCATTTCAGTTCGCCATGATGGAAACAGTCATCTCGGCCATTTCCGATATATTCCCGAACTTCCTGAGGAGAAAAAAGACACCGTTTACTTTCATCGTTTGTATGATTGGCTTCTTGCTGGGAATTCCCCTCTGCACAGAGGTCAGTTTTTCTCCCCCCTCTCTCTCTGTGTCTCTCTCTCCCTCTCTCTCACTCTCCCTCTCATCTGTTTTTTATCCTTCTCCCCCATCTCTGTCTGTCTGTCTGTCTGTCTGTCTGTCTGTCTGTCTGTCTGTCTGTCTGTCTGTCTGTCTGTCTGTCCTC